TTTCAGGCAGCTGGTGCCTTGCATTCAATACATAGCCCTGGCACTGTCTGCATCTGCATTGTCACAGGCATACAGGGAATAACACATATCTGCTTCTTCAAAACGTAGCAAAACCTCACCTGCTTTTATTTTTTATTTCTTCTTTCAAAATGAACAGGAAATTAGCTGTGAACATCTAGAAATGTAGTAACAAACTCCAAAACATGATGCAGGACAAGCTGCTTATCACTGTAACAATAATTCTGGAGTGTTTCAAGAGATGGTTCCTACCAGAGCATCACCCAGCACATCACACCACATCTGTTCCCAGGTTTTAAGAGGGCTCTACTGCTCTCCTGGGGTTCTTGGCAGCCCCAGGCCTCGGGGTCAGGAGGCAGCAGTAGCATGACTGTGTGAAAGCAGGATTCTGTCGGTGAGTGGTGCTGCAGGGGGTGATTTACACACAGCGCCAGGGCCAGGCAATGAGCCAGGGCTGCAGCGTGGCTCAAATCAGGAATGAGAGGTGGCTGCGAAGGGGAACCACACCTGTGGCACAAGCCCTTACACAGGACCCAGGTGTCACCCTCTTGGTACTGGGTTTCCTTGGTAAACATCTAGAGGGCCAGTGCTGGGGCTGCCTCAGTCCTGGCAGGGTGTGAGGGAATTCAGAACTGCCTCATAAGCTTTGGTATGACATACTCCAACACACTGAACATACGGGGACATATCTCAGGACCTAGTGGAACACATTATGCAGGACATTTCACTTTCAAGGGTATTAAATGAAAACAATACTTCCCATAACATTATTCTCAATCATTAAAAGTCTCCTGCTCACCTCCTATATGCTTCACTCCTACCAATAAAAATGCCAAATCTCCAGTGCCTGGAGCAGGACTCCAATTCTTTCAGCTTTCTCTGGGCTTCTTTTTGCACTGAGGCCAATCTATTCAATGTAAGGAGGCTTCTTACCAAAAGATTAAAACTCAATGAACCTTTCATGCTGAACTATTATAAAATTCCCTAAAATATGTGTCACTTTGATGTTCATTCAAGTTCAGTATGTCAAGGAGTTGAACGGTACCAGATTTAAATGTTTAGAGATCAGAAAGGCTGTTACACCAGACCTACTGAGTTACATTCTTCCTCATAGCCCCTTGCTCAGCCACGAAAAGTAATACAACATTTTCCTGAGCTTTGGAAGGACAGCAAGAGTGCTCTGAACGAACACCCTGAGTGACCTGAACCAGAGGTCAGAAAGCTGAAGAGGGCTCAGTAAAGCCAAGCCACACAAAATTTGAATTTCTTTGCTTCACTTCTCAGGACAAAGATCTGCAACTTTAACATGCATTCCTCTCTGCCATAAGATGCCTCCCTGGTGCATCATAATCAGTCACCCCTCGATGCGCCAGCTGGTTACCAAGCAAGGCATTACAGAGTGCAGGAACTCAGCCCTCCGCGGAGAGGAAGAGCAGGGACACCAGGAGGAATGCAAGCCTGGCAACGGGAGGCACAGCAGCTTTGCTGTGACGGATGCAGCTCAGCAGTCTCACCCCTTCTGGCTTCGTGCTGTACCTCGTGGGCTGTGGGTGCCCAAGTTGTTTATGCCATCTTTTCCAGGGATCCTGGAGCTCTCCTCGGACTCAATGCTTCAGACTGTGCCCTAACTGACCAGATAAAGCTCTGCTCGGGCTGAGTGACGAGCTCTTTAACTTGCTATAACTAGCCTCAGTGATCCATTGCTGGGACCTGGCAGGGACAGTGAGCAAGGGAGGTTTAGGCCATCGCAGAGAAAGATACAAAGATGCAGAAATGTGCTGGGACCAAAAACTTGTCAGGAGTGAACGTGGTGTACCTGAGGAGGTGCACAGTCAATTGAGTAGCTTGTCTTGGCTTTAAAGACACTGTTATCAGTATTAGCAGTTAAATAAAACATTTGAGGGTAAAAGTCTTAGTGAGAACAGAGCAAGAACTGAGAATACGTAAGAGTAACTGAAAGATAAAAAAACCAACATAGCAAGCAAACCAAAACCACATGCTACGTGTGTAGGAAACATAGAGCTGAGCCTACATTCAGAAAGTCCAAACACAGTAAGGTAAAAAATGTAGTTGCAGCAGTTGGACAGCCCTAATTCCACCTAATTCCAAAAAAAAAAAAAAAAACAACCTTCCACGTGCTATTTTAAGATTATACTATTTTCACGTTTTCTGATCCCAGATAGATTATATTTCCCAGTAAAGACAATCCTCCTGTTCCTTTCTGGAGGGCTGATGAGGAGCATATTACTCAAAGCGTAGCATTTTCTCTGTTTTTCCTCGGTGTTTAACTCCGAGGTCTGCAATAAGGCCATTTGCAGGGAATTCCCCCTCTCCCAGATGACCAGCACTCTGGTGACAACACGGCTTTTTCTCCAGGATTTTTCTTGCAATTCCTGGAAACGTCCGGGCCCCGGGGGAGCGCGGCCGGCGGTAAACCTCGGGAGCTGCGGGGA